AATTTATGTATCCTGACTATTTAAAGAAGATATAAATGTCAAAGTCTAATCAAAAAATGTTTTTTTACAGGATATTTGAGTTTATAAAAACATTAGATGTAAAAACAACCCAAGAAATACAGAATAAAGCTACCTGTTTACTGATGCATTAAATACACTAATACACCTGTGTAACTTGGATACAACATTAGTTTATCAAAAACATTAAATATTTGATTGAAAACTATCAATTTCTTGAAACTTTGTTTAGTATGTAAATGTATTTTCAATAATAAATAGTTATTAATATTGGCTTCGTTTTCTTTAGACTTTTAAACCAAACTGTCTTTTGCCAGCTGTAGTACTGGGATCCTCCAGTAGAGGGCAAAAGTGAGGAATTAGATCTGATACAAGTGGAAGAACAAAACCTGAAATAAGGTGTGCCACAAATTCGTCATTTCTAAATATGTGTACTTGTGCTTCTGTACTCGTGAAACATCATCAGCCTCCGGCCTAGTAATGTTCCAGTTCACAAGAACTGCAGACCGAGAACGGACAAAGTCCCCGGATGATGTTCTCGCCCCTCCCTATTTACCCAGTATGCATGTCACTACCCAATCCGTCCCAGGAAGCACGATCCGTCCTGCGCATGTGCGAACAGATATACACCCGGGTGTCCATAAATAATGTAATTATGGTACTATAATTATTTATTTGTATCCTTAACTCTCTAAAGAATGCTAATACACATCTTTAAAACATGTTTTATGAGACAATTTTGATGCTTTTTACATTTTCTGCGTTAAACTGCTTGTCTGACGTCATCATCAGACATGCTCAGAGTAGTCCGACAAAATATAATTAAACCATGTTTATCTGCATTTTAGCTGTTTCTTTACTTAGATTACGCACTATATACCATAATGTTAACACGAAAGGAAAATATAAAATGCAAAAAAGACTAGATTTATATCTTAATCCCATTTTAGATCCCATTTCCGGTGCAGATCAGGCAGAGAAGATTGATAAACAGAAATTATTTTAAGGCATTTGTTTTACCAGGAAATACATTATTAAGCTTTAACACATTATATTTTAGTACTATTTTGGGGGATGAAAAACGTCATTTAGGTCTTTTTAACAAAATAAAATCGAGGGTGACCAGGATGTATATCTGGACGCGCAGGACGTAGCGGGCTTCCTGGACGGATCGGATAGTGACGATGCATCAGAGCAGTCTTGTCCGCTCTTGAGATTGACAGCTGTCCCATCATGCACTGCAGCAACAACAGCTGCCAATGGAGCACTCCCAGAGCTAAGTTAAAAGTTCTCTTCCTGTTGCTGTTGTTCAATAAAAGTACATTTTAAGATAATTTGAGGCGAGAACAGTATACTTTTTATATGTTTTTTTATTTATTTATTGTTTTTATTTTTATTTAGTCTGACTTTAGATTTTCATTTTTTTTTTTACTTTGTTTTTAATATTTGTTTGTTAGTTTAGTTGTTGTTTTACAAAAATACTTTCAGTTTTAATTAAGTTTTTTTAGTTTCAGTTATCGCCTTTGTCTTTTATTTAATATGACTGGGGAAAAAACAAACAAAAAAGCTAAATAGAAATAAAATCCCAGAGATCTGCAGTAACACAAATGATCTGACTGCTGTACCTGCATCTGCTGGACCTCACATTATGATAAAGACATAAGCAAAAACTAATTACAATCTTTCTTAAAATTTTGATTGTTTCAATTAAGTTTGTAAACTCTTATTACACTTTCAATTCTAGTATTTGTTAGTTTTTTTTTGACAATAATAACCTTGATAATTACATCATTATAGGCTTGAATGACTTATCCTCCTAAAAATGTGGCGCCTCTGATTACTGTTGTGTGGATTCAGGCCACAGATGAAAATTCATACATTATTTCCTACACTAAGGTATGCTGCATTCTAATGACAGTGATTTAGTTATTTTTTTTAGTTTAGTTTTAGATACGCACAACACATCCCACTCTGGTCCACCACTATGGTTGAAAAAATCTAATCCAGGAACCGTGAAACTAAGACTGGAACTTTATATATGGGCATCGTTTGGTTTCATTACTCTGTCTCCAGCTGTCTGGCTAACAGCCAGAGACATGGCAGCAGAAATGGTTTCATGCCAGAGAACATAAATGATTAAGATCAACAATGATAAGAACCAGTTTTTTTTCTACTTATTACATTTTGCATTGAAACACCCAAATGGTTTAAGATCTATTTTTTTAAGTAGAAAAAAAACATCAACAACAAAGGAAATGCTTTGATTTCTACTTGAACTTGTGTCAATTTAAGCATTACACTACAGATGGCAATAATAGTCAGATCAACTTTCCTGCAAAAGCTTTTTTTTTATGTATAATTTTTTTTTGCCGCTAAAAACTTTTCAGGGAAAAAAGTCAATTGTTCCTTCCAGAACAGTTTCCACGTCTTGGTAAAATTTCCCCTAATTTCTTTAGCTTCTGTTCAAGTGACTGCTGAGGCTGTCCTCTTGGAGAGCTACAGAGTGCACATCAATGTTTCATGACCCCTGTCCCTTAATATGGCCCACACAGAAGAAGATGGATCTCCGCACATTAGTTACTAGACTAACTTTCTCTTGGCACTCTGCATTATTTAGGGCCCAATCTATTAAAAGTAATCAGCGACTTCAAAAGTCTTTTAGCCCCGCTTGCCCTCGGTTGTCACGTTTTCCCTGCTCCTCCTGCGGTGCCCCGCTCGACCGAACGCGGCTCAGCGCGGCACACATGCTCATGCCAGTGTAATTGTTTTGCTTTCTGCTGTCAGCCATTATCCTAATTCACACAAAAGGGGCCCCTCCTTCCTCTGGCTTCAGTGGAAAGTTGAGCCCTGGGGGCAACTATACGCTGAGGAGGCTGGGAGAGGGAAAGAAACAGTGAGTGTATGCATATGGGTGTGTGTTTGTGTGTGATGCAGAGTGAGAAAGAAACAGAAAGAGACAGATAAAGGGAGTGAGAAGAAGGAGGCAAAGGAACATGTGTGCAAAGGAGAGAAAGAGGAAAGAGCACCAACCAACTTACACTGATATCTAATCTTTACTCCCACTGTAAAAGCTCTGTTTGGATGCTCTGACGTGGTTCTGTGCTGCATTTGAACTTTGTGTGTGTGTTAAGGCTTGAATAACTTCTTTGTATGGTGTAAATTTACACCAGTGGAGAAGCACAGAAGCAGAAGCGATAAAGTATCCACTGCATAAACTTGAAGTACTGCTGAAAGTGTACACGGGAAATCATCTTGATGAGGAAAAAAACGATACTAAACCAGTGTCTGGGCTAAGGTTTTTATATATATATATATATATATATATATATATATATATATATATATATATATATATATATATATATATATATAGATATACATATATATATTTTTTTACTCTTGTCATATTGCAACAAGATAAAAACAGAAGCTTTCAGGGGTTTTCTGATAGGAGACTTTCTGAATATCTTAATTTTATCACCAAGGGATTACATGGATGGTTTTTCTTGTAGCCAGTTTTGCAGATGCTCTGGTGCATGTTTACCTTGGCCCACTTGGGACTTAACTGGTGCAGAGCTGAAGACGCTCCACTATAAAATGAATGACACCGTGCATAGATGCAAAATGTAAGACGAAGTCTTTTCAAATCATTTGAGGTTTCAGACTTATTCTTGTTTGCTTTTAGTTACAAGTGGTGATGTCACTGTTTGTAGAAGCTAAAAATCAGACACAATTTCATGATTACAAACATTTCCTGCAAAATGTAAAAAAACACAGCTGAAAGTGCACATGTTTGACTTTTAATCTGCTTTATCAGCTGCAGAGAATCTAAAAAGCTGTGTCCAAACTCACTAAGAATGCGACTATCGGATCAACTTCAAGAAAAGTGTCCAGCATTTTCAAATTTTCTAATTATCCATGTAATTATGGTCAAATTTGAAGGCAGGGTCAAAATTTAGTTAAAAATGGCTCCTGTGAGAGAAGCGCATATTTATCTAACCATGTCACAGTGTTATTTCATTTAATCCATGAGTAAGATAAAATACCAAAGTTGGAGTTCAAGATGGATAAACTGAAAAGTTTCCTTGCAGAAAGTAATCTTAAATTTCACCCTGTGTTGCAAAGAAACTAAAGGTTAAGACAGGAGAGGGAATATGAATATGGTTAAGTTGACTACATCACTAAAAATTGCACCAAACTGTCTGAAGGCCAAGCCAATGATTGAATATTAACAATAATAAAACCAGCCCTAAAATAATGAAAACTTTATATTTGACATGCTCTGCCTGATTATTTTAATACATTTGGTCTAAATTAAAATGTCGCTGCATTGTTTCACCAGTTTTGAGTCGATGAATAGACAGTCTCTGATTGTTAGTCTGCAGATCCAAAACTAAAAAAAGTATATTTTTCTTTATGCCTCATCCCCGAATGCATCAAATGCAAAAGATCCATCATCTTCAGTCTTTAATTTGATCAACAAACACCTCAAAGTTGGATACATTTTTATAGTATGTAATATTTTGATTTACAGTTTAAGTGTTTTCTTACCCCCATTTTTCTTATTTCTTAACCTGTAAAATCAAACCTTTTTTATGTATGTGCTGTAGTCTAAAAGCAATAACACCTCAAATATCCCAAATATCAGTCAGAAAAGGCCTGATAAGTTCACCTCTAATATCAATCTGATTCCAATTTTAAAAGTTTCAGAAGAATTCAATAACATATTTATTATTCTTTAAAGGATATTGATAAAATAACTGTATTCCTGATCCCAGATTTAAATAAAAATTGAAATCAATGTAGTTGGTTTGAAAAGATTGAATGTTTTCCATACTTTAGGGTGGTTGAATTAAATGTGATTTAAAACGTTATAATAAAAATATAATCACTTGCTTATTTTTCTGTATTTCTTGTTTTGTTCAAACCGTGATTAAATCCATTCAACCAGAATAAGTTTATATTAAATGCACCTTTCTTACCTGGAGTCTGGGTACTTGGTGAGGGTCGCCAGGCTGCTGGTGTACATGTGTCCTCCGACGTCGATGTGCACGGGGGCGTTCGCCTTGGTCAGCTGAGCCGGCAGAGGGATCCCCTGAGCGGCCAGGGGAGAGACCGGGGACCGGGTCAGAGACAGCCGTGACATGCTTCTTCCCTCCTGAAAGCAAGTGTAGAGAAAAGCCATGGGAACAAAGGTAAAGGAGGGGCGAAAAAAACAACAACCACACACTACACTTGGATCCTATAGAGGGGAAAAGAAGGTATATCCTTTCTGAATGTTATCAGATCTCTTCCATGTCTGTCTGGTCGCATATTTAGCTTGGAAATTATTGCCACCGTTCTAATTAAGTATGTTTGCATCTTTTCATGCAGCACCGCGGGCTAGGATAGGAGGATGCTTATTAGAGAAGAGGGCTGAGAGAGAGAATGATAGGAAGAGAGAGAGAGAGGGTGGGAGAGAGAAAAGAGGGGTGTGGGTGATGCTAGGTGTCAGCCTCCGGGGGAATAAAATAAACTGCTGCTGCAATATTCTAATTAAAGGTCGCCTTATGTGTTAGACGTGATACGCCAAGACGCACCAACTACCGATCTGAAAAAGAGTCGAGGCGAGAGGGCTGAGGGTAAATTAGGGGGTCCAACTTCACCTAAACTACACACACCACACACATGCATTTACGGCACAAAACTCCAAGGTGATTGCTTGTCACGTGACTGTACTTGCAGGCACAGATTGTGCGTAAAGCGCGAAAGAGCGCGTAAAAGCGCACGGTCCAAACTAGCGGGAGAATGTTTAACTCAATCTACAGGGAATGATAAACCCATGAGATTATTTAACACAAAATAAGGTTGAAGAAGGGATATAATGCAGAGAAGAGGGGTCTAGGGGGTTATGAGGAGCAAGCATGGATTTGATTAACTGATTAAATGCTTTGGAAAAATGTTTCCAATCACTTCGTTACGCCGTCATTTGATTCTGTCCGCGCTTTAAGAGAATCATAACAGGGTGGATGAGAGCATTGGCCGCGTATCCAACCTGTGCATAAATGCTTCACCCATAATTCAGTTTCCGCCACAACTGCGTTCCTGTTTTCTGTGTGGAAAAATTCTTTTTATATATTCAGCCCCTTAAGCCTGGTTTTTCAGGTCATATAAGGGATTTGGTGTGTAAATAAGTAGAATTTCTTTGAGGGTTCGGTTGAATTATACAAAAAACAAACACTTATTGTCTAACATATGAAAAGGGAAATAACACTTATTTAAATGAGCAGAATTGAATAGTTTGCAGTAAACCAGACCGTCTCTGAACCTTAAAGAGGAGCCACTGGGCTGAGTATAGAGGCAAGTGGCAAACATTTCAAATCCATGAGAAATAAAAGACAAAAAAGAAGAAGAAAAAAATGGAAAAGCTTGAAAGTTTTCCTCCTGACACATATGGGCCTGTCCCATCCCCGGCATCCCTCTCTCTCTCCCCCCCACCGCACCAGTCCAGCCATTGAACCGACACCGCGCACAGGGAACAAATGGATAATTAGACCCACAATTCTCCGTGCACTTCTAATCACGTCACTCAATCTTTGCAGTAATGTTAAAAACTGCCTCCTGTAACTCACACAGCATTTAAGATGTGACAAACACCTCATCAAAGTCAAAGCAGCAACTTTCACAACTCTGACGGATCATCAGTTGGAGATAATGTTATTTAAAAAGCGCATAGATGAAGCTGAAACCATGAAAAGCTTGATGGACACGAAAAGCCTGCGCTCTGCCTTTAATCTCCGAAATGCTCAATATGGCGCCTCATCTTGTCGCACAATTAAAAGCAGAATGCATATAGACGTGTGATATAGGCTACAGACTTGTCAAATCTCTGTTTTGAAATAACAGCAAGATACAAAGCAAGAAAAAAGACATAAAATGTCGCTTTCGGCTCCAGCTGCCTCCATACAGCTCAGTGCAGACGCAAAGCTCGCGCTCTGGTTTAAAAAAAAGCAAACATTGGATCCATAAATATAATGCTCACCCTACCGTTTCAAACATCGTAAGGAGTCCGGATGAATCCGTGCCGGTGTCAGTCCCAGCTGCTGTCCGCTTTAACCCCCCCTCCCTTGCTGAAATATTTTGTCCAAAAAACTAAACACGCATCCAGCAGCTCCCCGCACCGAAAGCTGAGCTGTCCTCAATCTTTTTTTAAACACAAATTCCGCACAACTGTCTTTTTTTTCTCCTATCAGAGAGGTTTAGATGTGACCGGGGTCGACTGCGCTCAGAGGGGGGGAGTCTCTGTGGCTTTAAAGGCTCTATTTGCTGTCTCGACCTGTCCCCGTCGAGCAGGAAGCTTTCTTACCTTGAACATAGATGAGGATGATCTCCTTCCCCCCTTAACTGCTCTGATTCGGAAACGCGTAAAAATGTGCGCTCTTGTTGGAATCCCGCTCCCGTTTTTCCCTCCTGCCTCTTGTCTGTCTTTTTTTTTTCTCTTTGCCTAAATGAAAACTGCCCCTGTGGTTTGTTATGAGAGGAAAGAAAGCCAATAATCCTTCTCTAAATAACAGAGCAGAGCTAAAAAAGATGATTCTCGCTCCGGGCTGCCCGAGCGCCTCTGGGCCGGGGATTAGGCTACAATTAGCTCAACTCCACTCTCTCGCCTGAGCAATTTTCTCAAGGAAGAGAAAGTGATACCCCTCTATACCTCAAATTATGAGTTCACAGATAGAAAAACTTCTCTCTCTTTTTTTGGATGGAAAAAGTGGAGCGGCATGAAGTTGTGGTTTAGAAAAAAACGGTAGAAATCCAAACAGGGAAGTGAGTGATTCAAATTTAGATGGAGCAGATTTTAATCATTGTCATTTGGTCTGATGAAATAAGTCCTCAGGCAGTCCAGCTAACAGGAAGGCTTCTCAATCTCCAGCCTGGATGGAAAGTTTAAAACCAAGCGAGCCGCCATATTCCTTAACTCATAACTTGTTGATGATGTCTAAGGTTACAAAAAGGAAATATGTGAAAAACGCAGAGTTATCCTTGAACCGATATCTTTCAGTGTTCCTCCTATCCCCCTTTCACTCTCTCTCTCCCTCTCCTGTCTTAATGTCTGGAGTTGTAACGCCAAATTTCCTGCAGGCCATTAAAATCAAATGACGTCTACGGACATGCATGCATGCTGCTGCAGAAAGCGCCCTCACAGCCTGCCTGCAGCCAAATGCGCCATTTCAATTATAGCGCAGGGCTTAGATGGAGATATCTGCACGCCCCCCCTCCCCTCTCTCTCAAGTGAAAAACTAGGCAGGCAACCTCCAGACTTTTTTGTATTTTTTAGGGGAAAAGAAGACACTGCATGATGATTATTAGTATTTTTTATTTTTTTTTTTTTGTTCTCCAGCACACAGTGACCCAGAGCAACTCTGGAGCGCTGAAACAAGAAACAAAGGGGGAGGAAGCAGGTACTCACACCTTAGCAGAGGGTTATGTATTTATTTGTGTGTTTGTTTAGCTGAGGGTAAATAACTGAATAATTGATGCAGCATTGAGCCCAGTAATTACCCTGTACCAGCTTCATTCCAGAGGTGCTGCTCATTGGTTTCTTGATATTTGGCGCCAACCAGCGTAGAAACTTGTTATTGGTCAACAAGAAGCTTTAAAGAGCGTTTGGTCTTCCCACTATTCTTATGAGAGTGTCGCAATTCTAACTTGGTCCAGTTTTCTGCCCACCATGAGTCATCTGAGGTACAAAAAACCCCCCCCAAAAAACATTAATTTTCTTGCATTTTCTTACTGTTAGGATTTCTCTAAAAATTCATCTCCCAAAAAATATTTTGAAAAGTGTTTTATCTGCACAAATTTATTTCTTAACCATATCATTTATTTGTCATTTACTTTTAACATTATTGTATATTCTGGCATAACAGAATTAGAAAATATTTGTCAGATTATATAAGTTTAAAAATAAATTGTGATGTTTTGAGCCACCAATTAGTATTTGCATAGGTATTTTTTCCCCCTTTGCTTGAGTAATTTATTGTATTACTTAATTCTACTCTTACTATAGTAATACATATTAAAGCAGTGCTACTCCTACTTGAATAACATCTGTCTGAACAAGGTTCAGCTGGAAAACTGGTCCTGACTAACAGAAATCATTCTTTCCACTGTTATCATTTGCAGAATGTGGAGTTGATGCAATCAATAATATTTCCCAGAGCTGACTGATGTCTTTCTTTTGTTTTGTTTGTTGTTGTTTTTGTGTGTGTGTGTGTGTGTGTGTGTTTGTGTGTCTGTGTGTGTGTGACCTCCTCGATGGTTCATGGATCTGTTTTCCTGTCCACAGCAGAGTTCTTGATTCCATCCAACAAGGTAAAGGGTCCAAGTCCCGAAGCAGCAAAGCAGCACCAGACCATCACACCACCACCGCCATGGTTGACTAATGTTCCTATTTTGAAATGTAGTCAGTTTTACAAAACAAGTTTTGTCAGCAATAGTTTTCTGCTTGGAAAACACCCATCAAAACAAACTCCTCCCTGTTTTTTTCATTAATTAAACACTCGCATCCTACTCCCCAGTACAGAAATCCTGTTTGTTTTCTTACATGATTCAATATTTTGGGCATGGATAGCCAAATAACTTATTATGAGTTTCAAGCCTGAATAGAAAGCAAAAGTTGTAAAAATGAGGATTTATGCACTTAAAATAGATAAAAAAGCCTTCTACTTATTGAATTTATTCAGCACATTGGGTATAACGTTGTGCGGCCAGAGGGGCTGTAGGGTTGCCAGTAAATGTATGGGTGCCTCTAAGCCCCATCCTCCACCTTCACCCCTGCATTATAGCCTGTTTTTTGTTTTTTGCATAAAATAGCAATTAAATGATACAAATAGGTGATCTTGCTGGTGATATATGACAGCAGCAGTGAAAGGAGTGTGAGCGTTCATCTTTGCTGCAGGCAGGCTAACATTTCATATAATTAGAGGGACCTCGGTGTGCCTTGGAGCTCTCCCTCTTCACCCCCTCTGGCTCAGATTTGTTGTTTCCAGAGGTAAAAAACTGGAGGGGAAAACAGATTTTTTTTCTCATTAAAGGAAACATGCCTGGAGTAAGTTCAATTATATGAAGTATGCAGGGATGTTGTAAATTTAAAGATTTAAATAGCTTACAAAGTGGCCCTGGGCCCCATCAGTTAATTTCCTTAATTTATGGATTTTATCCGTGTCTGAGAGGTAGAAGTAGGTCAGCTTGAGTATTTGCACACAGCTCTGTGATTTCAAATTAAAAATCCAAAATATATGCCCCCCTGACCATGACCAGAGGGGAAGGAAGGCTTCCTACACCTTTAATGAACAAAGATCTGAAGGTTTTATTTGACCTTTTATTGATGCCTGGTCTCTAGGATGCAGATATAACCATCTTCCTATTGTCACTGGAAAGGTTTGACCCAGTACAATCACACCAGTTCAAATGTTTGCCCTTGTAAACCTGTTATTAATAATACTTTTATTTATAGAGGTCACTACAGTTGAGAACGACTCAAAAACAAGCCAACCCCCTCATAAAGCACATAAAAAAACAAGCAAACAAGATAAAAATCAATGTCTCTTGAATCTTCTATGTCATCTGCATGTTATGAAGAAAGCTGCAGGTTTTAAACCACTATCATAGAGGAGAAGGGTCATTTTTAATTTTCTTTACTGCGACATGATGCTCACTTTCAAGGTCTAGTCAAAGTGAAACAGGAAAGGCTTCTAATTAATACCGACTGGGAACCTCATCAACTGATGGGAGCTCCAAGTATTTCGGCCAGTGACCCCAAAAATAACAAAGCAAAAACAGTTGGGACCGACTAAAATCACATAGAATTACTTATGTATATATGGTTTGTTTGGACTTTGATTTCATGTTTGGATTTTTGGTTTTCCTGACTCTGTGTTCAGTTTACCTTTCATTAAACCCACAAGAAAATCACCTCTGCCTCCCTGCCTCTGCATTTGGGTCACCAAACCACCACCAAATCCTGACACCAACACATCCCATCTCAAGGCACTTTACAGTTCACAAGATCATACAGTCCAATTGATTCAAAGTTTTCTCTTTAAGGAAAACCAGTTAAATGCATCCATTCATTGACTCAAATGCAATCCCTCAAGCATGCTTGTAGCGACAACGGAGAGGAAAAACTCCCTTTTGACAGGAAGAAACCTCCAGCAGAACCAGGCTGAGTGTGAGCTGCCATCGGACGAGGCCGACTGGGGTTCAAGGAGACAGAAGCAGAAATACAAAAAGCAGATATAAAAAGCGGCCTCATCCAGGAAACACACAGCCAGGCAAACGAGCTCCGAGCCAGCTCCCATGTCAGAGGATGAAGAGAGCACATCCAGTGAGTCACAGTCAGAGAAACAGGACTACACTGGAAAACAGGCTGAGCTCCAACATCTATAAACAAAGGTGTTGATGGCAGCAGCACAGCTGATATTTCTCTGCAGGATGGAGTCACAGCCAAACAGGAACAGACCAGATGAAGCTACTGTGAGAAAAAGCAGAGAGAGCAGAACGTTAGAGATTGAACTAATAGATTCTGCAGAGTGGGAGAACAGAGATAGAATGAAGCACATCACCATTATGAAATAACCATCTCTAGACCCCCACTTTAGGAACTCATGTTTTAAAGGTTTAAGTCATTGATTTGAATGTAAGGAAAGAAAAGGACACAAACTTAATCAACTGATAACTATCACTGATGGATTATGGTATTTACATTGACAGTTATAAGGTCAACGACTCAAGGTTTTATTGAAAAGTTTTTGACTATTCTGCCACAAAACGACAACTATTTTGATGGTTACTCTATCAAACCCTGTTGTAAAAAAAATCCTTAAAATTTTGTAAAAAAGCAGCCCAGCATTTTCAAAAGAATTCCTGGTTGTATGTTAGCTACCATATTGGAAATAAGTGTGTGATGTCAGACAAATATAGAAAAAAAGATACTTCAAGCACTCAGCCAAGAATAACCCATAGAAATCTTTGCTAGTTGGTCTTTTTAGTATCAGACTGTTGCAGGTCTACATACATGGGTAACTTCAAGAAACTTAAAATGTATAAAACAGATTTTCTTTTTTTTTTTAAATCTTCTGTCCTTTAAGGTGGATGTCAATCATCACAGGTTATGTTTATCCTAAACTCATTATCGTAAATATGGCCATCAAAATTATTTCAGCAGCAGTGAATGTTAACTCTAAGCCACTTTTTTTTAGTTTTATCTAAATATATGTTAATAATTTATTTGTCACCTACATGTTAAAAATCTGAGAGCAGATGTTTTTTTTTTTCATGTTTGAGCATTTAATAAAATGTTATAAAACCACGTTTTAAAAAAAGTTAATAACTTAGAATCAGGTCGCCACAATTCATGCATAAAAGGGCTTATATTGATTTCCCCATAATTATGAATCAAGATGTTTAAGCTGCAGCAAGATGCTGCATAAATCCGTCAAAATATCAAAGTCTCTTTCAGACTTCATATGCTAATGAGGTGGATGAATTAATGCATGACCCTATGCCACTAATAACTTTGCCTCTAGGTCCAAAAGCAGGTGCTATTAGTGGTGCTGGCTGCTTAAAGTGGTGCAGAGGACAACACCATGTCTGTCTCTGCTTCCAGCGTTGTTCTTTCAGCAAAGGAAAGCTATAAAGCTGCCCGCCCTCATAGTAGGGAGTATTTTTATATGAATTCTCATTGCTACTGACAACTGAAAAAACTTAGTCACCACAAGATTATGAGATAATCCCATGAAAACAGTTTTTATTTTCTCAGTTTAGATAGAACACAAAAAAGGAGTTTTGAAAACTGAAAAAGGATCTGGGATCCCTCTGGTTTCTTCATATGTACATGAAAGAACAGAGAAACATTTACTGGCACCTTTTAAGATAATCATGATTTATAACACTGTTTATTGATATGTTTTGAACCAACATGCATGCATTTTTTTTTTACAAAGTTCTCCTTACGGTTGGTGTGTCTCATCTCCACTCTTCACTCAGATTGAGTTTGTTGATAAAAATGCCTTTCCTCCAAATCCTGCTGTTTGTTTCAAATCATGTACTTGTATATTGCCCCCTGGTGGAGGATGTAAGTAATACACAAGGCAAGTTCCAGTTTCATTCAAAATGTGATGACAGTTTTTATGGG